CAAATTTTCTGTGAAAATGAATCTATTTTGCAAAGATTTTCAAGTTACTGTAAAGAGGTATGTATGTATGTTGTTAATAATTTTAAAAATAATTATATTTTGCTTTCTGATTTGTAAAAAGATTTTTCATAGATGAGTGACCAATTTTGTCAAATGAAATGATTGTACAACTTTTAAAATGTAATTTTTTAGCTCTTTTTCCTGTGTTGTCTTAACTAAAGTTCTTTCACTTCTGTAGATCTGTTTTGAAACAAAATTTTTTTTCTATTTATTTTTTCTTGTTTTGTTTATTGTTTCCTTATTTTTATTTTTCTATAACCTTTCTCCTGTATTTTCACTCTAAACTTTATCATTTCCTCTTTTGTGGTTCTGGGTTGTGTGTGTGTGTGTGTGTGTGTGTGTGTGTGTGTGTGTGTGTGTGTGTGTGTGCTATATCTCCCCAGCTAAAAAGTTAGCTATTTTTCCTTTTTTTAATGTAAACATTAAATCCATAAATTTCTTTCTGGGCAAAGTTTTGTTACATCCCACAAGATTTGGCCTGTCCTAGCTTCTTTTTTCATTTTCTTCAAACTATTTTCTCATTTCTTTTATTTCCTTCTTTGACCCATCATATATTTAGAAATATATTTAATTTTCATCAAATACAATATGCATATAATAATACAATATAATTAAAATAATGTAATAATAATATAATAAAATTCTATTTAATTTATTAATTTTCCAATTTTCCATTTATTACTCACATTTGGATTTCTTCCATTGTAGTTGGAGAAGATATTTTGTATTATTTCAAGCTTTCTAAATGTATTGAGATGGGTTTTGTGACTTCAGATATGGATAAAGTGTGGGACATCCTAGAGAATGCTCCATATGGACAAGAAATATTGGGTGGAGTGTTTTCTATATGTCTGTTAAGTCTAATTGAATCATAGAGTTGTTCAATTCCTTTATCTTCTTATAGACTTTTAAGATGTCCTATACTTATTAAAATTGGCATATTAAAGTTTCCAACTATTATTATAGAACTGTCAGCCAAGGGTGGTGACACATGCCTATAATCCCAGGTGGATTGCATGAGTTCAAAGCCAGCCTGGGCTACATAATGAACCCAAGGCCTGCCTGAACTACATAGTGAGACCTTATCTAAAAAAAATTTTTTTTAAAAAAAATATATATATAATTGTCTATGTCTTCACATTTATCAGTGTTTGCTTCATATTTTCTAGGTTTCTGTTGTGTATGTAATTGTTACGTGTTCTGAATAATTTGTCAATATATTGCATTCTATCATGTTATTGCAAAAGATTTTTACTGAAAGACTATGTTGTTTCATATGAGTACAGACATTCCAGGTCTCTTGGTTAATATTTACATGGAGTATTCTTTTCTGTCCTTTCCCTTTCAACCTATTGGGCCCTTGGATCCAAAGTCTTTTGTAAACATCATATAGTTTGATGGTGAGGTTTGGTTTTCATCCACTGTACCAATAAGTGGCTTTATGTTAGAGAGTTCAATCCAACAATTACAGTCAAGTAATCACTGATTTGAAAGGATTTCTACCATTTTTTTGTTTTGTTTCCATAAGTTTTGTAACTTTTCTGGCGCTCACTTCCATGATTACTGCTTCTGTGTTTGTTGAGTGGGTTTATTGCAGGGCTGTTATTGCTTGGGTCTTACATGTATCCTGTATAGCAAAGGCTTTGACCCGGCCTCTGACATTAAAGGGAGGTGATAGAATCTTCAAATATATAGGAAATGGAGCTTTGTGGAAGTCATTGGGGGATGCTCTGAAGGACATGTTGGGGCCATGGACTCTCTCTGTCTCTCTCTGTCTCTTCTGTCTGTCTGTCTGTCTCTCTTTCTCTCTCTCTGTCCCCTCTTCCCTCTGCTTCCTGGCCACCATGAAGTCAGCAGCTCTGCTTCATTACATGCTCCCTGTCATGATGTTCTGCCTCACTACAGGCCTCAAAACAATGGAGTCCACTGACCATAAACTAAATGTTCTAAAACCAAGAATCAAACTAAACCTTTCCTTTTTTATGCTGATTTTAGTAATGGAAAGCTAAGTGCTTGACTAATACAAGTGCCCATTTTTAATCCCTTCTCATTTCCTTTTACATATACATTTTAGGTTTTTTTTCTTAGCGGCTCCTATGGAATTGTAATTAACATCCAAAATCTATACCAGGTTGGTTTACATTGATACTAATTTATTTTCAATAGCATGCAAACACCCGATATAGCTCCATCCTTCCCCTCTTAAGTTTTTTGTCAAAAATTACATACTTGTTATTGTATGTCTAGCAACATAGGTCTATAATTACTTTATGTATTTATCTTAAATCTTTTAAGAACTAAATATCATCTTCTAAGAAATAAGTAGCATCAAAGCTGATGAATATCTTCATTTGAAAATAAAATTGTAGACTATATACCAATAAATTATCTCATAGTGAGTTTAGTATTTTTGTAAGTGTATCACTAGAGATTTTTATTTCTTTATTTGGGTTTGAGTTAGTGCACAAAGTCTTTTAACATCACCCTAAAGAACTCCCTTTAACAGTTCCTATAGGGCAGCTGTACTAGCAACAAATTCCTTTAGCTTTGATGTATTTAGAAATATTTTAATTTCTCTTACATTTTTTAAGCAGAGTTTTGCCAAGTCAGCAAGTCTGAGTTGATGTTATCTGGTTCCTTTGATTGATTTTTCTTCTCTCAGCACTTTAAATTCAAAAATTCAAACTTTTTATGTGATCTGGCATCAGCCTATTTATCCAACTTCCACTGGGAATGCTCCATTTCATTAAGCCTTTGCCGTACTGCCTCTGTTTCTTCAACATGGCTAAGTTTCTCCCAGCCTTGGGCTTTGCACTTACTGCTTTGTGCTTCTGTTTGTTGCATAACTGCACATTTTTCTTGCTGTAGAGTTCATTTCAAATGTTGCTTCTTCAAAGAGCTCTTTTGATTGCACCCCTTAATTCATCAAAAAGTAGACAATTTATTTTTCCAAAGCACTTCTTCTTGGCTGTAACTATCATGTTTATTCACTTATTTCTGTATTATCTGCTCAGCTTTCCACATTCCCCCAAGTAAGGAATGTCTATCATGCTCACTATAGTATTCCAGTATGTGGGGCCTGGCACACTGTGTCTATGGTAAGCATAACTGAATAAATGAATGGCTGTAATAAACACCACATTCTCCATTCAGTGTATTACTTTAGCTAACTGTGTAAGAGCTTAATGACATGAATATAAGTGACCAGCAAACTCCTACCAGATCTGGTAGATATAGGCTGTGGGACAACAGTTATGTTCTCCTGGATTCCAAACTTTCATGCCCTAGTTAATTTTAACCTTTAAAGTCTTTAAATTTGTTTGATGTATACATATTGATGCCCTTAGAGGAATAAGAAACTGGAAAAATATTCTGTTCCTTGAATGTATAACATAAAGTGAGTGACTAAACATGGATCAATGACCTGTGCTATATTTGTCACCCAATGCAAATGTGACAACTGGTTTGCAGTAACCTTTTGCTTGTTGCTTGAGATTTTTTTTATATAAGGTAGATCGCTTTGATGCCATTTCTGTACACCTGTGCAATTTAGAATACTGTATGTGTTTTTCTGTTGGCTGTCCTCATTTTGGCTGCAAGAAACTCTTCTTACACTCAGTGTGCCTCAACATGCCTTTTAGGCTGCTAAGTTCATTCTTACAAGCCATAAACTTTTTCTTTATGTTTAACTCAAAATACATTGTACGGAAGAAATGAAAGACACCTACTTTACAACATGCCGAGAAAAAACCAACTCATAAAGGACACCAGAAAGTAGGAAAACACTGCCCATAATTTGATCAAGATGAAAAAGCACAATATTTAGGGGCTGGGGATTTAGCTCAGCAGCAAAGCGCCTGCCTGGCAAGCGCAAGGTTGTGAGTTCGGTTCCCGGTACCGGAGAAAAAAAAAAAAAAAAAAGCACAATATTTAAAGAAGACTATAAATATTATCTCCTCATCTGACTATGCTGTCTTAGCTTTGGATCACCAGGTGCCAAATATACTCAATAAAACCATATTAGCTTATTTTTTGCTAAATTTTCATTGTACAATTTCAAATAAATATAACACTCATCTTTAAAATGCCCTTAACAAGAAATGAGAAAAATCCTTCTGCATTTATTGCAAATTTTTATAATGTTTAGCATACCACTCAAAAATTTCTATGCAAATTCCTATATGATAATGTCTTTTTGAAATTTCCTCACATGACCATGCAGTACACCATGGTTATATTTTCCATTATGGCATAAAAAAGGAAACTGAAGGTAAAAACTGATGCTTAATCTTAGCGGTGATATCAAACTTTAAATTTAAAATAATATTAATTCTTACTTTCAAACTCATTGTATTATTTCTTATTAGTTTTATGTGTGTATATCTCCAGTAATCTGAATATAGAGATATACACAAACACACACATGAAACTGAGAGTAAAAACTGATGCTTAATCTTAGCGGTGATATCAAACTTTAAATTTAAAATAATATTAATTCTTACTTTCAAACTCATTGTATTATTTCTTAATTTTTTTTTTTTTTTTGGTTTTTCTCCGGTACCGGGAACCGAACTCACGACCTTGCGCTTGCCAGGCAGGCGCTTTGCCGCTGAGCTAAATCCCCAGCCCCTCTTATTAGTTTTATGTGTGTATATCTCCAGTAATCTGAATATAGAGATATACACAAACACACACATGATCTATGTAGATAATTTCATATCACCCCAGATTAAGTTTTAAAGTCAGGCTATGAAAACCTACATATAGGGGCTGGGGATTTAGCTCAGCGGCACAGCGCCTGCCTGGCAAGTGCAACATTGTGAGTTTGATTCCCGGTACCCGAAAAAAACCAAAACCAAAAAAACCCAAACAAACAAAAAACAAAACCTACATATAAACATGATTATGAATACATAAATAAATTTTAATAAAGAGAACATTCATTGTGAAGATACTTTTCTTCGTAAAACCTTTGTGAGTGCATTTTTCACTTCCTTGTTCCTCAGACTATATATCAAGGGATTCAGCATGGGAATCACAGTAGTGTAAAACACCGAGGATACTTTCTCCTGGATGACTGAACTCCTGGAAGCAGGTTTGAGATACATGGACATGAGAGAACCATAAAATATAAGAACAGCCATTAGGTGGGAGCTACAGGTGCTAAAGGCTTTGGACCTGCCCTCTTTAGAATGGATACGGAGGATGCTGGTGAGAATAAAGGCATACGAAACTATGATGGTCAGGCTGGTGGCTACCATGTTAAACCCACCAATGCCAAAAATCAACAGCTCATCAATGTAAGTGCTAGAACAGGAGAGTTTAATTAGAGGAACAATGTCACAGAAATAATGTTTAATGATGTTTGATCCGCAGAAAGACAACCTCAATGTACAACCTCCATGAATCATGGCATCAGTGAAGCCTATGGAGAAGACAGCAGCCACCAGCAGAAAGCAAACCTGAGGGGACATGGTGACATGGTAGAGTAGTGGGCTGCAGATGGCCACATAGCGATCGTAGGCCATGGCTGCTAACATGTAACATTCAGAAATAACAAAAATACAGAAAAAAAACAATTGAGTCATACATCCAGAATAGGAGATGGATTTATCCCTGCCAACAAACCCTCCCAGCATTTTGGGGGTAATGACAGAAGAATAGCAGAAATCTAAAAATGACAGACTACTAAGAAAATAGTACATGGGGGTATGAAGTTGAGAATTCAATGTAATTATTGTAATCATGCCAAGATTTCCCACGATGGTTACTACATAGATCCCTAAGAAGAGATAGAAAAGGGGCAGCTGAAGCTCTGGCTGTTCAGTTAAACCCAAAAGAAGAAATTCAGTCACGGTGGAATGATTTCTTATACCCATTCTTCTCTGAGTAATCTGTGGAAATGAGAGAGAAAGAGTTAAATTAGGCATAATCCCAGCTCTTCTCCATTTCCACAGAGAGCAACTATGGGAAAGTATAAAAACACTGATTATTATGAAAACCAAAAATTTAGCATTTAGACAAAGCAGAATCAGTAAGCATCTACCTACAATACATTTTATGAAGCATGAATATACTTTCCCATCTTCCCCTGTGTCTCAAATTCTTTTAACAAATGACAAAGTCTTTTAAGCCATGGTTGTGGACAAGAGTAATGCTGAAGGTGTTGGGGAATTTCTTCCAAAGAAAATTAACAAAAGAGGTACATAAATTTGAGGCTGAGAGCCAAGATACTTTTGCCAATGATACATCTTGCTAGTGCTGATCTTGTTTCTAGGATTTCCTATAGAGAAAATGTTGATTGCTAAGGTCAGTTGTGATTTTCTATGCAAGGTTTCTAATGCTGTTTAGCAGAACATCAACTCCAGGAAGATATTAACAATTGTTACCTAAAACCAGTAACTAAGGATAATTTGAGGGATGCTGAATTACACACTTAAACGGGTTTCTTGATGCCTTAGTCTATATAACATATATTCTCCAAACTTACTTGAGGATAGACCACTCACATACTTCTTTTTAAAATATATCATTGCACTAGTGTGACCCAGAATATATTTTACAAAAGTGTTTCCGTTTGGGTGCTTACTCCACTTTTAATCGTACCATAAATAGATTTCCAGATGGAAACTTCATTCTTCTGACACTAGTGAAAATGTCTGATGGCAGAAAATCTGACCCCCTAAAACTGTTTATGGTAGAAAATCTGACCCCCTAAAACTGCTTGAATCTTCTGATTATCTGGCCACCCTCTGGACTGAGCTATCTTCTCTCCAAGACCACTGAGTTGAACATAAGGCACTAGTGCTGCCAATTCTGGCGAAGCCAAAAACTAAGCATTTGTGTTTCATTTCAGGGTTTCTCCATAGCACTTCTGGTATATACCTACACCTCTCCTCAAAAGTGTGAAGATGGCATCAGCTTGGAGGTGCCCACTCTAACATCAAGCATAGCCTTGTCTCTGAAAAATCTGACCACTTTTCACTTGGTGATGAGCTGTTCCATGGCCTCTCTGCAGGCTCCCATTTGCCAAAAGATTATGTAGACTCCTATTCAAACATCTGAACCCAATTTTTCTCAACTTTCCCTGCAAAAGGATCTGTCTTTCCCTGGCTTTTCAAGAAGCTTTGCTTCTGTCCTTGCTTCCAATCAATTACTGTTCTGACAGGACAAGGCCACTTTCCTTTGGTCATCTGAATCCCCAAGGATTTAGGAAATACCTCTTCTACGAGATCTTTCTCCTTCTCTCTCTCTCTCTCTCTCTCGCTCTCTCTCTCTCTCTCTCTCTCTCTCTCTCTCTCTCTCTCTCTGTCTCCCCACACACACAAAAAAAGCTTCATGACACTCAATAGTTACTCCCTGGGCAGGCTTCCAAATTGCACAGAATATATATCTTATGTGTCTGCTCTTCTCTCCTCTTAAGGGATAGAGATGGGAAATCATGGGCCTAAAAAGAGAGTTCAGTTGCCGTTGGCCAGTTACTGAAATTCCCTGGAGTCTTCATTTCCCATCACCCCTCAGCAGTTAGCATGCACCTGTGTAGTAACAGAAATTACACAGATAGAAATATCAAAGGAATGTTTGAGAAGACCCATATACTCCATTTTTGCCTTTAATCTCTTGGACATTTTGAAGTATGGCCTTAATCTATCCTAAGTGTCAGAAACACATTGCTACTCTCATCATGTATCACATTCTGCCACATTGTCACTAATCTTCATGGTCCTGGTATCAAGGTAAAATTTCTTTCATCCTGCCTGAGGTTCTTATTTCATTCAAGTGTCCTGCATTCTTCTTCCCCCTGTCAAGCCAATAGGTTTTTCTTTCCTTTATTTCCTGCTTCCCAAAACATTTCTGTGCTCTAGGTCCTCCCTACTCAATGTGCTCCACTGATCAACTGCAGCAGCATTGCTCAGGCACTAGGGAAACTTGTAAGAAGTGTACAGTCATATTCTGAGTTGGGGATCTACATTTTCACAAGCTCCCCACATGATCTGTGCACAAGTAATAGTTTGAGAGACATTGTTTTATTTTATTCTCTCCTAAAGCTCAAATCATCTTTCTCCTTTCTTATTTCCTCTCTCCCACCTTCCTCCGCCTCCTTCTCTTCCTAATCCTCTTCCTCTTCCTTCTTCTTCTTCTTTGTTCCAGAAGGCATTACTTGATCACACAAAGGCCATCTTTGAAAATATCTCAAGGAAAGCCTTCTAGGATGAGGGATAGAAATTGTAGTTTTATAATTCAGTATTTTACCACCTATAAATAAATTCAAAGATTCCATGGTGTGCAATGAACATATCAAATACTGTATTATAGCAAACTGCATTATGGACTTGTGTTTATAGGAAGCAATGTTATACAAGTAATGTCTTAGTTCACATAAAATTGACCAATGGTAACCACAACCCACTTTATTAACCAGTTGCTAAAGTACACATCACTAGGCTAGAGATAAAATTTTGTTAGGATGTATGTCTGACTACCCTCCAAAGTAATCTACTACACTGACTCAGACTTGATTTAGGTTTCATGTACTTTTAACAACTTAAGTGTATAATAAGGTATTTTTATATACATCATATCATGCAATATTATTAAAAATATGACTGTTGAAAGTACTTTATGAAGATAGTCTAGATGAACAATTGCCCAATAGAAAAATAGCAGCCATGTGAGATATTTGAAATATCTTAGAAGCCCTTTTTCCTTTTTTTTTGGTTTTTTGAGACAGGGTTTAACCATGCAGTTCAGGCTGGCCTTGAACTTACTATGTAGCCCAAGGTAACTTTGACCTCACAGCAATCCTCTTGCCTCAGCCTCCCAAGTGCTTGGATTATAGGCATATACCTCAACACCTTGCATAGAAGCCCATTTTAAGAAAAAAACAAAATCAAACAAATGAAATCAATTTTAGCATTTTTGTTTTACTCTGTATATTGTGATATTACATTTCAACATGTGATCCACATAAAAAATTTAATTACATATTTAGATTTTCTTTTTTTCCTAAGCAGGACAAAATATGAAATCCACAATGCACTTCTGCACATACAGTATACCTCAAGTAAAACTAGTCACGTTTCAAATGCTGACTAACCACTTATGATGCTTTTGCTACTGGACAGTGTAGGTCAAGAATATAATAATTCCTTTCTAAATCTGAAGTCTGTTTTACCATGCCTACAGAGGTGGCCACAAGAGCCCTAAAGCCTGAGTCATAAGCTTCAGTCTCAACCCCATCTCTAAGACGTGCACTGTGACACTGGACTCACCACAGAGTCTCTGTGAAGTTGATGGTTTAACCTGCAAAAAGTCATAAATCTTTCAAAGAAATTGTTATATGAATTGAACAAAATGATAAGTATAAGCAAGCTGTATCATCACTAGGTCTGCATGAATACACTTGGAAGTGTATTTTAAAGCTGATGATTTCACAATCGACTCACAGATCAGACAGGAAGGTACTCAGGTCAAACTCACACAAAACCAGGTCTGCGGTGATGCCCATGGCCTCTTCCCGCCATTCCTGCTACAAACATACAGACCTTCTAGATCCCTCATGGGCAGTCAGGAGTGAATTTTAGGACATGTTTTAATATCCACACAAGATGAGCACCACAACTCTGAACCCTCACCTTCTTCCTCCGGAAGACTGCAGGTATCTCTTCTTTCTTTTAACCTCATCACTTTCCAAGAAAAGCTGGATTAATTATATTTTGTCCTTAAATGTCTATACAACTGCTGTGATGTTTTTCTTAGTTTAAGTATGTTATGTCTAGAAATATAAAGACCAGTAGTCCCCAGGGTTTCTTATCTCTGGAGGTTTAGAAATCTGTGAATTTGTAAGAACTGTCCCTAAGCTGGCCTGTCACTGGGGACATTTACCATAAATTAGGTACACTGCTCCAAATGAATCTCTGCAGATCTTGTTGCCCAGTGGAGCTGGGGTAGGGTCCAACAAATGCCTTGACCTGACATACTGCTGAATATATGAAACATGGTGAACCTAGAAATCTACAAGGGATAAATGTTAAATAATATTTATTACAGTGAGAGACACATTGTAATTAGTCTCCCTCAAAATATTCTCCTTGCTTCAAACACACTTATTCTATTGCTCTGCCACATTCTGAAGTAGTTCTGCAAGTCCTGTTTGGTGAGTCTTTCTAACGAGTGATCAATTTAAATATTCACCAAGTTTTTAGAGTACACCTCCTTTATACTCATAATACTTTTAAACTCAGATATGGAGCATATCATTACTGTTTGCAGTAAGAAAGACCCGTCTTCATGGAAGGGTAGATTTTAAACTACCTTCAAAAATGGGGAGGAGTCAGCGTGGTGGCACACTCTTGTAATCCCAGCACTTGAGAGGCTGCGGCAGCAGGATCATTGCAAGTTGAGACCAGCCTGGGCTACAAAGCGAGCTCAAGGCCAACCTGAACTGCATAATGAGACCCTGTCTCAAAAAAGACAAAAACAAACAAACAAACAAAAATGAGGAGGATTCATAAGGTGAAAAGACATTCAAGATGTAGATAAGGACCCAAGCCCATGAACTAAGAAGCAGAAAACAAGAAATATATGAAGGACTGTGGGAACAGCTGAAGTGTTTCTTGGATACAGGCAGTACACTCAGTGTCCCCACTCTCCAGTAACTATGGAAGTAAGTTGCATCAGGAAGAGAGCCCACTAGTCCATTCCCAAGGGAGGGCTCTCCAGGACACCTGGCAAAATATCCCTGGTGTCATTTGAATGAGCCATTTCTTATGCCCTTGAAACTTCCAAATTTTCAGGCTGGGTTCTGTGTGTCAGTCTTTAAGGAAAATTACAAGACTATTTCAGATTCTATCATAATCTGTTCTATAGTGTCACTATG